TAAAAATGATCCTCCTCTGAGAATCCAAAACTCCAGCTTATCACCTAAGCAATCGAGCAACCAAAATTCAACAGTCTGCACTACCATGTCTCTCTCATCCCTCCTCATTTTTTTTGCCACCATAAGCACAAAGCACCATAGAAAGGAAAAAAATTAGTCAAAGCCCAATCAACATCCAATCTTGATAAAACTCATTGTGGTGAACGACAAACAAGCCTTTAATTTTGAAATAATTCAACAAGCTCAAGCCAACAAAGGAACAGGCCAAACGAAAATTAACTTAAGCCTAATCTCGAAAAAAATTTGTCATTATCTCTGCCAAAACAATTTAAAACCAACCAATCCATAACCCAACAACCATCAGTTATATATCATGGCCCAAGTGAAATAACAACCCAATAGAATATGAGCCCAACATAAAGTAGCCTAAATAAAACAGACTATAGAAATCCAATCCAATAGAAACAAAGAAGCCACCTACATCCCAAACAAAGAAGCCCAACAAGAACTTAATAAGCCAGCCTGCTAATTAATTTTAAGGTTGAATTCCATCACGGAAGATAACCAAACTTATCTACTTTTACGTGACCTAGAATCCACCTAAATCACGCAACTCTGCTGTAACCATGGTCACCACGATATCCCCAGCCAACTAACTTATTCTCTTCCCAACTAAATTATTCTCTTCCCAAAATTATCGTCGGCCACATCGTCGGCCGTCAACCACCATGTCGGCATACCACATACCATTACCAATCGAATTCTGCACCTACGCCACTTACGGAACCCAGCTGCATACAACCGAAATTCTTATGCGCCGCCCCTTGTAGTCAAACTTCATGTGGCGGTGGACGACAACGACAACATTGAAGTAGCTACAGAAGACCTCTGAGACATCGCTTTCAAGTTACTGTTATTTTGCTTTTGAAGTTCACTAGGTTCAAGGTGATGGACAAGAGATACACATCTTGAGATCTTACTAGCAATTTTTTTTTTTACTCTGATGCCGAAGATAAGAAAACAGTTGCCTCAGGATCCTGGAATTTGACGCTAACCACTTCATATGATTTTCTAGAAGAATCAGGGAAAGCGTGGCAAGAGAAAGAGTTTGTATAAAATTGTTTCAGGATTTTATCGAAGTTCAAAAAATTGAGATTTTTACTAAAAGCTGGAAAACAAAATTCAAAGGTTGATTTGTTTAGAATCGGAATAGCTCTGATACCATGTCAAGAAATTATAAATTGTATATAATAATCTCCTGCTCTATATTACTAAGTAGAAGACCCTATTTATAGAGTTACAAATAACTCTAAAAGGAAAGATTGTATAATAATTACGCAATCAACTAATAAGGAAAATAATCCTACATAATTGGAGAAATATAATAAAAGATTATTCTAGATAATATTTCCATATTCCATATCTTTAACACTAATATATTGCGCATGAATCTTTTTCATGATTAGGTAGTATAACACATGCATTTTCAACATGCTTCAACGCATAAAAGGCTAATCAATTTGAACATATGTGGTTTGTAGCACCTGAGTCCACTACCCAGTGTCTAAATGAATTTAGTGATGAAATATTAGATATTGAGAAGTAGGTACCTGACATATTACCAGAGTTTGCATCCACTTCTATGTCCATTTTTACAGCCTTGAGATAAATATTCAGCACATTCATTAGATGTTGGTATTGTACTGGATTGAGTGTCTGCATAAAACTTCCAACACTCCTTTTTTTTTGGTCCATAGCAAGTTCAGGGACTTGATGTTTAAAAACCTAGTTAATCATAGCACGGCTGGCTTGATTACTTGATCCAATTTGATTGTTCATTTTATGCCTATCTCTAGGCTTGTAACCCGGGGATAACCATGCAATTTATATGATTTATCAATTACATGGCCTATATATCCACAATAAGTGCATACAGGCCTTTCCTTCTTCTGAAATCTTTTGTAATGCTATCTCGTGCCAATTTTTCTAGTTTCATTCTGAACGTGGAAAGCAATGGAGCCAATGGTTCTAGAAGTATTAGAGATCACATTGACCTTTCTTTGATGTTCTTCCTAAGAAACAAGTGCAAAAAATTTGTTGGTAGGAGGAATGAGATCCATTAGCAGTAGTTGACTCGAACTTGAGCAAAATAACTCATGCAGCCCCATTAAGAAAGACATCACATATTTCATTGGATGATATTCAACAAGCTTCTTATTGCCTCCACATACACATTTTCCACAGGAACATATAGGTTTATAATCGATTGGCCCTATGAAAGACTCATCAATTCTCACCTTAGCTGGAATATGTGCGGGCCATTCCTCTGTCGAGAACTCTCGTTTAGATCAGTCCAAATCTCTTATGCAGATTAAGAGAATATGATACTTACAGAAATTTCCTTGGATATCGAATTGAGAATCTAAGAGATGACAATGTTTTGTTGCGTATCCATGAATTGAGTAGCTCTTGATTATTTTCAGTCGTAGAATGGATCCATTGATGAATTCCAATTTATTCTTCATCGAGAGTGACATCATCATTGATCGACTCCAAGATACATAGTTGTCTCCGGTCAATTACTGTGAAATAAGAACAATGCCTGGATTATCTGAATGATGGAAAAATTATGGACTGGTTCCATCATCAATAGCTGAATTGCTTGTTGATGATGAAGAAATTTTGGATGACGAATTTGAAGGATCTAAAGCCATTGTTGTTTGGAAGTTTTGATAACAGATTTGATACTTAGGATATGACTGCTCTGATATCATATTGAAGAAAAAGTGTTGAAGAAGACAATTGTAAAATGGAGAAAAATATTATTCGGTGTGTGTTTGAGCCACATTATTTTGAAAAAATGTATTTTGGAATAGTAGATTGATGAAAAATATGTGGTTAAAAATGATAAATTTTTAGATTTACTTGTAATATTATTTTATTGAAAAATGTGTGGTTGATATGATATCAAATCATTGTTTAAAAATGCATTTATTCAAAGAATGCGACTCAAACAGGGCCTCGATGAAAACGAGTTACCCCCATTGTATAAATAGAGTGTGTGTGTAATTGATAGTTAGACAAAGTAACTATTGACGACTAACTAACTGATTCAAGCTATATCAATTAACAACCTAACTAACTAATATTATAACAAACAAAATATTATTTCAAAATGCATTTTGAACCGAAAGAATGTGACTTAAACAGGCTAATAATAAGACAAAATTGACCCTTAAATTGGCATATTAAAGCCTTCAACAACATTTGTCGAGCAAACAAAGATGAAAATAATTTTATTTTATTTTAAAAATCACTTTCCGAAGAGTACTATAATTAATTTTGTTATCATATCAAGGCCATAATATATAATACTAATAATTTGTTTGTAAAATTTGTTAAAAGTAACTTACTGAAATGTATTAGAATTAATTTTATTGCCAAAAGACCAGGGGCAGACCCAACCGTTTTGGGTTGTGGGGTAAAAAATTAGAGTCATGCTACAATGTTCACATGAATGATCGTAGAGTTGACACAATACACACACATGAGGTTGAAATTATTTTATTCATGGAGACCCTACCGAGCATGTGAGGGCACGATCATTTGCGAGGTCATCCTGGCGGGTTGTGCTTAACTACAAAAATTAATGTGAAATTTTTAAAATAATATAATATTTATAAAAATAAGTTAATACGCATTTTGATATCTTGAAAGTGTCTTATAATTCTATCATTATCAATATTGTTAAATGAAATTTTGCTACATGTATAGTTTTGTTTACCATGTCATTTATGGATATTAAGCTAACGACGAGTAAATCAAATTGGATATAGAAAGTAAATGAAATTTAAGTTTAACGAAAAAATAATTTGAAAGTAATTCAAATTACATTTAATCCGTAACGATTTTAGAATTTTTGACATCATTTTTAATGTAAAATTTTCTAATAAAATTATGTAAATTATATTGGAAAATTTATCATGAAAAAATAATAAACTTTAATGAAATAATTATTTTTTTGGAGTTAAACGTCTCTTTTAATATGTACGTTTAACGCATCTTTAACTATTTTGGATATCTGTTTGGACCATTTGATATGACTACGATGTAGTTTTCGTAACGAACTTCTAGATGATGCAAGTGATTTGTAGATTTGGATAGTATACGATCATCGGCAAATTTTAAAAATTAGCATATTATCAAAATTTTCGAAATACTAATTTTGAACGATCGACTTTGATACATCGTAACTTTTGCTATTGTTGATCATTTCACACACCATTAAGAAGTGAAAAACTAGGCTATGAGTGCTTAGAAATGATATTAAGAATGAAATATTTCGATTTCATTTGGTATGTATTAAAGTGGGTCGAAAACGGGTTAAAACAATCATTTTCTGAAAAAAAAATCAAAATTTTGTGGGGTTATTTGATCCCATGTGGATCCGCCCCAGCAAAAGACTATAATAGGAATCATTTGTTGGTCAAATTTATTAAAAGTAACTTACTTTACATAATTAACTAAATAAACATTTGAAAGCAAAAATGTCATCTTGAATTAAAGACATATTACATACATAGTCAAATAAATAAACATTTGAAAGCAAAAAATGTCAACTTGATATAAAGACACATTACATACAGAGTCAAATAAATAAACATTTGAAAGCAAAAACTTGATATAAAGACACATTACATACACAGTCAAATGAATAAGCATTTGAAACCAAAAATGTCATCCTGATTTAAAGACACATTGTATGCTGTATAAGATTGAATATATATTTTTTTTACTTTTAAAGAAGATATAATAATTTTTTTTATTTAATACTGTACTTCTTATCTTCAATTATTATTGATTCAGTTTTCAGTAAAAAAAAAAAAAAATTCATAAATTTTGATGACTATCAGTTCTTTCATCCAATGAAATTGTGCCATCCCATCAAGCTCAAACTCATAATGCCGCAGTAACAATGAAGTTACGGTCTTAGAGAGTAGTGGAGAAATGACTGCACACACTCTTAAAGAACGGAATATAGCACGCCAAAGGCACTTTTTACTAGGGTCTCTATCTGTCCCTGTCCTCTCTCTCTAAACCCAAGGTTTTACCCAATTCGACTCTTTCTATCTGTTTTTTTAGCTAATCATACCTCTTATCTACGCTTTACTAGAAAAGCTGTAAACTTGTACATCTTAATTTTATGCTGAATTTGTAAGTGTTTTTATATATACCTTCTTGATTTAAGTAGCTTTTTGAGATCTCAGTGTAAAAGATGCATCTTCGTCATCATTTCCGTAATGTGTTCTATTATTCTGCAATTTTGGTTGTGTATTTATGGGTTTAACCTCATTTGCAAAATTTGCAAATGGGTCTTTAGGTTTTAGCTGATGATTAGGATCTTTTATGTTCATGTCATCAATGATTTGATTTTTACATCAGATTATGAGTCAATTTACTAATAATATTTCTTTCACTTTCAGGAAGAAAAATTGTACCCGAGTATGAGTTAAAGTTTGCACCTTGAAGCCTTTGAGTACTGGTTTGTTAGTTGTATAGCTTAATTAATTTGATTTTGTTGCTCTCTTTAGCTACATTTACGATTTTTAGTAGAATCATGATAGAGGGGAAAAGGTTTTTATTCTATGGTGGAAAAGAAGAGCGTTGAGTAGGTGATTATTACTTATTACGGACATTTTTGTCATAATTTGACAAGTGAGTTGATTTTCTGGAAACTTATAGAAAGTGTACTGTGCATTGGTTAAATGGACCAAGATTTGAGTTCAGAGTCGAATCTTCCATCTGGATCAATTGATAAGTCTAAGGTTTTGGATGTGAAGCCTTTGAGATGTCTTGTCCCGGTACTCCCAACTGCACCTGGTATGTCATCTGTCTCAAGTCCCCAACCAGCACCCTTTGTATGCGTTCCACCGACTGGGCCTTTCCCACTTGGAGTCCAACCATTTTACCCATTCGTGGTTCCAAGTGCTTCTCAACGCACCCCATCTAGTGTCCCCAACCAAGCAGCGAATTTCAGTTTTGGGACCCCTATACAGTCTCCTGTTCCATTGAATTCCTTTAGAACTCCAGCTGACCCAGCTAATGGGGGCATGGAGCGATCTAATAAGACAACAAAAACTTATGCATCGGGAGGTGTATCTACAGGAGACGGGTATGCCGACTCTTGGAATCAGAGTGATGTGGAGAATGCCAGTAATTCAGGAAAACGAAGAAGTCAGCCAAGGAAGAAAAGAGACAGCAATGACAATGACGTTATTGAAACGATAGTTGATAACCTCATTACTTCATTCAAGCTTAACGGATTTGATGATTTTAGAAGAACCAGTGGTGATAAGGAGGTAGCTGGTACCATACTCTTGGTATTTGATTTGCTCAGGAGAAGGCTTACCCAAATTGAAGAAGCATCTCCAGGCATTTCTAAACATCCAAACCTTACGGCTGGTACAGTTTTGATGGCAAAAGGTTTTCGGACTAATAGCGGAAAGAGGATTGGGCATGTACCTGGAGTTGAAGTGGGCGATGTTTTCTTCTTTAGAATGGAGCTGTGTATAGTGGGGTTACACGCTCCAATTATGGCTGGCATAGATTACATGAGTGTCAAACTTACCATGAATGAAGAACCTTTGGCCGTCAGCATTGTCTCATCTGGAGGATATGATGATCAGGGTGGTGACGGAAATGTATTGATTTACACTGGCCAAGGTGGAGTGCAGAGGAAAGATGGGCAAGTATTTGATCAGAAACTTGAAAGGGGGAATCTTGCTTTGGAAAAGAGTCTGCATAGGGCCAGTGAGGTAAGAGTCATACGGGGTGTAAAGGATGTTAACGGTTCAAACGGGAAGATCTATGTTTATGATGGCCTTTACAACATTGAGGAGTCGTGGATAGAGAAAAATAAGTTGGGATGCAATGTTTTCAAATACAAATTGATTAGGAAACCCGGACAACCTGAAGCATTTACTTTGTGGAAATCAATTCAGCAGTGGAAGAATGGAAATGCTTCAAGGAGTGAGTTCATCCTTCCCGATATAACTTCAGGTGCAGAGAGTCTGCCTGTCACTCTTGTGAATGAAGTCGATGATGAAAAGGGACCTGCTTACTTCACTTACAGTCCTATGCTCAAGTATTCGAAGCCTTTTTCAGCTCCTAAGCCTTTTTCAGGCTGTCATTGCCTAAATGGATGTCAACCAGGCAGTAGTAACTGCCCTTGCAGCCAGAGAAACGGAGGATATCTCCCTTATATATCATCCGGGGTCCTTGTGTCTAACAACTCCTTGATACATGAGTGTGGCTCAACCTGTGCATGTCCTCCTAACTGTAGGAACCGAGTATCTCAGGCAGGTCTGAAAGTACGTCTGGAGGTTTATAAAACAAAGAATAGAGGATGGGGACTTAGGTCCTGGGATCCCATCCGGGCGGGTGGTTTTATTTGTGAGTATGCAGGGGATGTTGATGATGCATCTAAGGTAGGTGAATTTAGTAATGAAAACGAAGATAATTATATTTTTGATACGACTCGCAACTATGAACCATTGGGAGCTGTGCATGATGATTTTAATGGTTTTGTAAAAGTCCCATATCCCCTCATTGTAAATGCAAAAAAGAATGGCAATGTAGCTCGTTTCATGAACCATAGTTGTTCGCCAAATGTGTTCTGGCAGCCAGTTTTACATGAAAGTAATAGTGAGGCATACATCCATATTGCTTTTTTTGCCATCCGACATATTCCTCCAATGCAAGAGCTAACATATGATTATGGGATGGTTCCATCCGAGAAAGGATTGCATGGAAGAAAGAAGTGCTCCTGTGGGTCAGTGAAATGCAGAGGCTACTTCTATTGATTGTCAATGCCAAGTACAATGATGGTTGGATCACAATACTGATGCCTATTGCAAAAGGTTAGTTATTTACTCTTTCTTACATCCTTGAACTATCTAAATTGATTCTTGTTCTCTCACTATTCCAGAAAATTGTGTGACCTGTTAATGGTCTGTTCACTTCAGGGTAATTTGTCAAGAATTGAATTCCATGGATTCTGAACCTTGCGCTTTCAATATTGTATTTCATTGGATTTGTAGATCTAATCATTTATCATGTCTAACAAATTTAACTCAACTGGATAGAGATTAAGTGTTACAGTTTTTAACATACATAATATCAATGGATTGAAGAGTGAAGGAACTCAAATTCTCGTAAGCCAAACTGCTTAGATTTCCAAATCCTTGAGAGTTTAGTGCCTTCATAATGAACAGATCAGGAACTTGGACAGAAACTCAAGTGTTGGTTAGTTGGGACTTGGTGAACATAAAAAGTTTGCTCGTATTTCGATTTGTAAAGAAAGCTAGAAACCTTGGATTAAGATAGTGGGGAAAGAGGCAAGGCTTGAGTTAATAAATTGGCTGTAACCTTGGATTTTTTAAATATTTCCAGTCCATTCAGTGTAGATGTGAAGTGTGTTGATGAGCTGTCATTAGGGTCTTATTTTTGCATGTTGTGACTTCGTTCTGTCCGTTAATCTTTGTCTGAACCATTATTTGTACTTCTATTTAGGTCCCCCCCCCCCCCCCCCCCCCCCCCCCCCCCCCCCTTTTTTTTTTTTTTTTTTTTTTTTTTTTTTTTTTTTTTTTTTTTTTTTTTTTTTTTTTTTTTTTTTACCCTTTTTTTTTTTTTTTTTTTTGGCCCCCCCCCCCCCCCCCCCCAAACCGAGCTCTCCCTTTCTTTCTTTGAGGCGATTCTGGGTTTTGAAGGTTGTTTGGGTTGGTTTTTCTGGATATATTAGAAATCTTGGTTTTGGGCGTCCCAGCCCGTGCTTGATAACTGGTCAACTTACGGTATTTTGTTCTCTAACATATTACCAGCTTGATTGAGTTTCCTTATGTTCGTATATTATATTCTTTAACGTTATGTTTTTCATTTATTTTTTTGAGTGGGGTAGGGTGGTGGGTCTGCTTTGAGGATTTCTGTTTCCCTCATATCTGGCTCTCTCAATGTTCTCAAGGCACTACAGTCTCTTAGTGCATGACTTCTGCGATTCACTAACAAGTCTGCCGAGGATTTTGAGAGAGATTTTCACGTGATATCCAGATTACATATTCGAATATAGTAGAAAAATTTATCTTTATTGTCAGGCGAGTGTGATTTTAGTCCTTTTGGCCTTATCTCAAATTGGTCCCTGAAGTCTCAAAAATGACCTAACTAGCATTGAGCAAGAAGGAATCAAGAGTGGGGTGCTACGGTATGGGATCACCAAGTCTCAGGGGGGGAGAGGAGCAAAGCTCGTGTTTATTTTCATTCTCTATCCTTCTCGATTTATGAATATTATCATTTAGCTTTACTTTTATTTTCCTCATACCTCTAGCTGTTCTGGAAGTTGAATTCGAGAATTCTAAACAGGGCTATTTTAAATTTCACGATCCTTGATATTCATACTTACAAAAATGAGACATTGAATTGGCAAATAGGTGCGCCCTTTTGGGCTACTTGACATGGTCAGCATGGCTGAAATTGTAATCTGAAGTTATTTGATAATAAAATTTTCTCGCAGACTGATTAAATGCTTTTGCGAGCTTTGTAGGTACACTGTCAACATAAAGATGAATGTCTTTTTGCGTCTGCCATGCTGAACGTGTTTTTCCCTTAGTTCATCAGAAGTCGATGGTAGGAAAGTGCTTGTCTCAAACTGAAATATCTGACTTTGCTGGTGTGCGAATGAATTAGTGTGTTCTCCATGACAGAAGCATTCAAACTTTAACGTTACTTTTGTAAGTTGTGTAGCACAGCTGAAAACTCGATTAGATGGAGTTCGTTAATGTTTTTCGCTTCCTTTATCTTTTGCATATTCGTCTATCTGATACTAACTGCATTTGTCATTTATCGTGCTTTTGCCTCTCCTTTTTCGACACCTTCTTTCATCAGGATGTCTTGTTTTAAGAAGACAATGCTATTGTTCACACTGCAGCTGACACAAACTAGGTAGCATAATTCAGATAAAACCTTCAGAAAGTATTTTGGACTACGAGCATGTTTGGCTAACTGTAACATGTCAGTTTCACCAACAGATTATCAGACGAACTGTTGGAAAATGAGTGCAAATTACGACTTACAGAAATATAGAAAATGAAGAACTAGGTTCGTTTGAGGCAAGAATGAAGATGAAATTATCATGTACTGGCACTTATGTTTTGTTTGCAACCGTCTTCCAATATATAATGGCAACTTCTTTCGTAATAGTAACACTCCAAATAATTTTGAGAACGGGGAATCGGACAATGATTTGTTCTCTCCTTGAATGAGACAAGACTTGAACTTTATGCAAGATTACCCTTAAGATATATGTAGAAGGTGCAGAGCATAATAGGTCAACATTCACGGCATGTCAATAATGTGTGTCAAATATTGATTGCGTTACATGTACATCACAATTTATAGATCTGTTTATCAACAGATGATGTGACGAGATTTGATTGATTCAAAATCTCACCAACCAAATGATTTTTTTTTTTTTTCAAATATTCACTTTCTTTTTACCACCTCATTAATCTACAAAAAGTATTTGTAAATGGTTATATAGAACAAGATAACCTTAAATGTAAAGGTTGTAGGGTGTCGAGCGATTTTTTTATCCATTGCGATTTTAAACTCAATATTATCTGATGAGGCAATGGTTTAAATCTATTTAAGTTCAAACTTAGAAATGTAAAGAGGACTAGAAATCTAGAATTGGCTGACCCACCTTTGGGATGATGGTATGGAATGGCCATGAGCTCGAGTCTGACCATAGAGTACTCGACATGGTCACACGGCCTACATTTTTCTCTTTTCCTTTTTCACATTGATTTTCTTAGAAACAAAAAGAAAAATTTGAAAATGCTGAAATTAGTGAGCTCGTGACAAGATCAAGGTGAGCTATTTTGAGGACGAACCACATTTACACCTACACAATCGACACAAAACTCAAATCCTTGGCAATGCTTATTATCGGAAAATCAAATTAGTGGTAATTTTAGTGGCTTTCATTTCTTGTGAAAAAAACAAATTTCAAGAAGTTAAAAATATCTACGAAGTTGCAAACTGAATATCTACACTAAAACAAGCTAGACCACAAGAACTCGTCTGACTAGCATTACATAGAAAACTCAGAAACCATCCATGTAATCAAGCTAGACCCATAATAAAACGCCACGTATCTAATATCATCGATTTCATTGGATGAGATCAGATTCAATCATTTTCATCCAAATTATATATGCCCAAAATCTCATCCGTGAGCAATCATAATTTCTGCTCGAACTCAACCAAAAATGGCAGCAGAAATGGCTTTACTGGAACCCGTTTCCAAATTTAACACCAAAATCCCACAAATAAGCAATTCAAGAACCCCATGTTCAAGATTTTTCACCATAAGAATGTCAGCCACCACTACCCCATCACAATCAGCAAGGAAGAAAAATGCTGGGAAAAAGGAAATACAGGAGACTTTGTTGACTCCCAGATTTTACACTACAGACTTTGATGAAATGGAGCAGCTTTTTAATACTGAGATAAACAAGAGTTTGAACATGGCTGAATTTGAAGCGCTGCTGCAAGAATTTAAGACTGATTTTAATCAGACACATTTTGTAAGGAACAAGGAGTTTAAAGAGGCTGCTGACAAATTGCAGGGACCTCTTAGGCAAATCTTTGTTGAGTTCTTGGAGAGGTCTTGTACTGCTGAATTTTCTGGGTTCCTTCTTTACAAGGAGCTTGGAAGGAGGCTCAAGGTATGATTTATTTATTTATTTTTGTTTATTTACTGAATCATTGATATCATGTTTGGATGTGCTTAGAAGCAGCTTTTTAGCAACATGCTGTGGAGAAAATCTGCTAAGAAGCAGCTTTTAAATACCGTCAAACATTTTCTATAATCTACCTGTTTGTGCTTATATCATCTTGCTGATGTTGGGCTAATTTTGATAATTTTAAGGACTTTAAATTCTGAATTTAGTTTGATTATTTTTCATTTTTCTTGGACATCTTAGAAAATTTTGTACTTTGAATTGACAGTCAATTTAACAAAAAATGGATCCATTTTATGAATTCTTGAATTAATCTTTTTGTTTGTAGAGTTATGGCTATTTTGGCAAGTCATTTTGCTGAATGCAGGGCTAATTTTGAATCTTTTAATGATTTTATTCCATTTTTTCTGGATTTCTTGAAAGATTTTGCAACTTAAAATAACACGATCAATTAAAAGAAACAGTTTTATATAGATAATTTAACAACGAGTATAAAATTACTTTGATTGGTACTCAAGTATTTGATATTTTGTTTGCCATATGAGGAAATGTCTTAATTTCTACCATTGGTGTGCTAATTATCAAGATTTGTTATCCGTTTAGGATTACATGTTCTAGTTCTTTAAGAATGTTTTGTGTCTAATGTCGCTCATGGAAAGCCTGTCTTGTAACTTATAAGTATTCTGCGTGCCATTCCTTTTTGGTAAATTTGTTAAATTTCTTCCACAATACATCTTGTTTTGTTTTCCGCTGTTCATTTAGTTAGTTGATTGTTAATGCTTCGTTTTCCCATTTTATTCATTCACTCGACTAATATGGCGATTACTTATGCAGAAAACGAACCCTGTAGTTGCTGAGATTTTCTCTCTTATGTCAAGGGATGAAGCTCGACATGCTGGGTAGGCTAACATTCTTCACCATATGTTGACGTTAACTGTCATAGATTACTAAATAAAGCACACTGATCATTGTTTGATATAGTTTTATTTTATGTTTTTTGTCATCTTTATCACTGAAAGACTAATTTGGCCTAGTGTTTGCTTATGGAATTCTGCAGGTTCTTGAACAAGGGTTTATCAGACTTCAATTTGGCACTCGACTTGGGATTCCTAACAAAGGCCAGAAAATACACTTTTTTCAAGCCTAAGTTCATCTTTTACGCAACTTATTTATCCGAGAAGATTGGATACTGGAGATACATAACGATATACAGGCATCTCAAGGAAAACCCCGAGTATCAATGTTATCCGATTTTCAAGTACTTCGAGAACTGGTGCCAGGACGAGAACCGCCATGGTGATTTCTTCTCTGCACTGATGAAGGCACAGCCTCAGTTCCTTAATGACTGGCAGGCTAAATTGTGGTCACGTTTCTTCTGTCTCTCGGTAAGAATCAAGAAAAAGAATTGCCTACTACTTATGGGTATAAAATGCTATCCGTTTGTCCGAACCTTATATTAGTTTCTGACTTCATAAACTACAATGTAGGTGTATGTGACAATGTACCTCAACGATTGCCAAAGAACAGCCTTTTACGAGGGCATTGGCCTCGACACCAAAGAATTTGACATGCACGTTATCATCGAGGTAAGTGTTCGACCTCAAATTTACTCCCCTTCTATTAAGTTTTACAGATTATGACCTAATCCAACTTACGAGAGCAATGCTAAGCAAACAAAATCAGAAACAAGTTAAAAAACACACAGATTTATAATGGTTCAGTATCAATACAAGAGTTGCTGATGCAGGTTTACCTCACTGTCTCTTGAACACAAACTCTCTTATAAATCCTTTATATAGTAGAAATATTACGGTGACATTGTACATGTATGAATGCCTTGTGGAGGAGATATGATTATGATGTGCGGTTCGTCTAAGCATATTGATCAATGTTATGAAGAACACTAGCAAGTAGACAGATTGAGAACAATTGTTTACTGAACCGGAAACAGCGACTTTTTGCTAAAAGTTACTTTATATGTCGTGCAGACAAACCGAACAACAGCTAGAATCTTCCCGGCTGTACTAGACGTCGAGAACCCAGAATTCAAGAGGAAGTTAGATAGGATGGTGGAGATTAACCAGCAACTGATTTCAGTTGGGCAGAGTGAAGATATCCCATTTGTGAAGAACTTGAAGAGGATCCCATTTATTGCAGCTTTGGCTTCTGAAATTTTGGCTGCATATCTGATGAAACCTATAGAATCTGGTTCTGTTGATTTTGCAGAATTTGAACCACAACTTGTTTACTGATTATATAGACAAAATTCCAAATTCATTCTTAGGTTCGTAGAGTCTGTTTATTGTCCCCAAAACAGTAGTGTTTATTCTCCCCAAAACAGTAGTGTTGTAAAACCGGGAAACAGAGGCTTATGTTTACAAGTTACTCTTATGAGACAAAATAGTAATGTATTTTGAGAGTAATAGAGGGGCTATTTTCAAAATAAGAAATTTACTTATTCAACTAAAGTTATTAACAAGATTCCATAATAGTTATTTCATGTATAACTGATTATAATAGGAAATACATAAAATTAAATTCTATTTGTTGACCTCTAAATTTGGTTGGGAATTGATCCAATCTCTGCTCCTCTCCAAGTGTATATTATGTTCGCACATGGAACGCACGGTTTAGACATGCAAGATCGGAGTCTCTCCAAACACAAAGGGTGGGGGAGGTCGCGATCATACGTGCTGCGATACCCAAGTTAATCAAGAAGGACAATAGAAAGTATATATAGGAAGAGAAGAAATATCAGAGTTGAATTTATATTATTTAGAGAATTACAAAAGTTGCAATTATTTTTTAAAGACACTAAGTATGAATATATATTGATAAGAGAAATGAGCAAAAGATTCTTGGATATTTGCCATGTGGTCTCATCCAACGACTCACTAGTCAAGCTTCACAACGTGACAACATAGCATCTTAGGCATCAATAGGTCTGTGACCTGACACACTCATGTCTTGACAAAAATATAATATTTGACTCCTAGTAGCCGTTGTAAAAGACGTCCCATAAATCACATCTCACGTGACTATAAATATCAAAATTCGACTTATTCAAGGCATCATGAATCTTGCATCAACCTCCTTGGGGTTGAGGAGACCCATTTGTCATGGCTTAGAATTTGAGTCCCCTCTGATCGCCTTGGATTGAATAAGAGATAAAGCAATGATGAGGTGCTTTCGCCTCGGATTGAAGGAGAGGCTTGAGATGGCTCTTGGAGGAGGCTGGGAGAAGCTCAAAAGAGGTATGGAGAAGGGTGTTTCAAAAGAGGCCTCCGAGAGGCGTCTTTTGGAAGAGACCCGAGAATGAATGGAGGAGACATTGAGATGCTTCTCTCAGAAAAGGCCAAAGGAGGTCGCATAGTTTACCTTCTTTGGCCTTTTTTCCTTGTTTGAAGTTCAGTTTTAAGTCCAAAATGATTTTTCCCAAGAAACTTGATACGTCGAGTCAATGAATCATTCCATTGGTAATTTGTGGACCTCATATTGGAAGGCAGCTAGTTGAGGCGTCAATGTTGATAAACTTATTGAAACTGTTTGTACTATAATTGTTGGAATTAATTGAATTTAATTGGGTTAAAACATTAAATGTAATATTTAATGATGTGGGCCATTGCAATTAATTTGAGTGAGCTGGAAAAGTCTCCAATATAGACCCATATGTTGATAAACCCATTTTAAGTGTTTTATATATGGAAAGGAATCCTACAACGAAAGTTTACAAGAAAATAGTCTTTTTTTTTTTCATATCCAGGTATTTCAGCTTACACCAGACTAAATCTTGGACCTCCAAGACCCATGCCCCTAAAACCTTGGAGGGGGTAAATCGCGGGTTATGCCTCAACTGGATCACAAGTTCCCCCCATTCACTGTACACGTCTGCGTACAAGAGACCCTCCTCCACAGTGATTGCTCCATACCAAATATTTGGCTGCAGGTTCCCACCAGGAATCGAACTCTCCACCCTGCCACTGGAAGCAAGCCAATGTTGATTGATCCACCAGTTGAGCTGTGCTCCGGGGGGCAAATCTTTTTACAAAAATTTTCTTGTTTATATAGTGGGTTGTGTGAATAATATATAATTTAATAAGTTACCCATCACTTGGCTAACTTTATCTAGCCAAAGGCTAGTCACTACTAGAGTGGTGCTTCGCACACCACACGCGTCGCTCCCCGGTCTCGGCACGCGTACGTCGCAAAGTACCATTGGGCGTTTAAGAGGCGCACTTGGCACTTCAATCTCTATAAATAGAGACCCCCATATTCGTTTTTAAAAAACACAAAAATCAATTACGAATTCAATTAATTTCTAAATTATTCTCTCTCCATATTCTGCTCTAAAAATTCTCTTATATTTTCGTGGTTATTCCGTTCGAGTACGATCATTCATTGGTTTGACCGATAAGGTTGGTATTGTGCAGTATCGATTTTGGAAGGAGCGTTGTATCTTGGGGGGACAGACGTCCATAATCCCGTTTGCACTTCATTGGGAGGCGAAATCTGTCTTAAGGAGATTTGCTTTGACATACCTCGCTTCATCTACTGTTTTCTATTTTTCTGCTTATTTTATTTGTTCTTTTAATTGAATTAGTCGAATTTCCGATAACGATATTGAGATTTTCTAACAACACTTTGTTATGGTATACTTGAAATTGGTGTAATTCATAATATATCTTAAATTCACTTCAGTCTAAGCGAAGGGATATGATTTATTATTTATATACTTTTTGCCATAATGTTGATCCATGTGTGATTTGAAAGGTCAATTGTTTTAAATATAATGCATATATATGGCTTTTTAATGAATACATTTGGAATTGATAAGTGAAGATTTGAATTACAACAATTTGGAAAATAAATCAGCTTTGGCAATTCTTAGTTTCTATCTCAACATAATTGGGGAGCTTTACGATAGTGGAGTTGGAGCATTTGAATCAATCAACCTATTAAGTGTCTCTCCGTTAGTAAGATTTGTCAAAAGGTTGGTGTTTAAATTCACTTACTTATCAAAGCAACTCTTCTTTTTCCTACAACTGCAACTGGGGGTGACGGGAGAAGCGCAAATTGTGCTCTACATTATATGGGGTATTTGTTTTCCTATAGTTTTTATGGACCCCACATAAGAGATCGGAATTCAAATTTGGTGGCTTGATGTGATGGATAATGGTCATATTTTTTATTTTAATGGGGAAAGAATGGGAAACAGACATGGGCGTAATTGGTAATTTAGCTTTTCATCTTGAGGTACTGTGGTTGCATCATTTTTAGATATGGTTGCTATATCTATTATTGAGCTATTTGCGGTATTGTAGGCTTCTAGCAAACAGTAAAATGGCCGGCCATAGGATTGCTCATGCTACTTTGAAAGGACCAAGTGTGGTGAAGGAAATCGTTATTGGAATTGTGCTCAGCTTTGCTGCCGGTAGTGTATGGAAGCGGCATCATTGGAACGAGCAGAGACGAGTAAGGTCATTCTATGACTTGTTGGACAAAGGTGAGATCACCTTGGTTCCAGCAGAAGAATAATTATTCTATAAATTATAATTGGTGTTGTGATGATTTACATTCCTTTTCTGGCTTTTCAATCAGACATGAGCTCATTTTTGTTTAGATTTCATACAAATAAGTTGTAATGGAATTTGCATTCTTCCTATTTCCATAAATTCCAAAGCTTTTTGAGATTGTTTTCTTATTTTTTCTGCAAATTCACTATGTTAATTTGCATTAGTTACTGCTATCTCGCTTATTTTTTGTGTTTATATGTACAATGTATAGGAATTATAGTCTGGGCAAAAAACTAGTTCTGAAATAATCAAGTGCTGGGAATTTTAAGAGCATTTTGTTTTTCCAAGTGCATAACAAATCTTAATAAAGTAGTAAAATAGATGGTATATATTCTGTTCAAATTACAATTCAGGGTTTGTTTGGTAATAATTATGAGAATTGATTTTTTGACCGTTAAAGAGAAAAGTACGTCCCATCTGTGAGTGAAAAAGTAAAAAATGAAGGTTAGAATAGTAAAACAACAATTAAAAAATTGATTTTTTGGGATAAAAAATTGCTACCAAATGGGGGTTTAGTAAATACATTACCTGGGGGAGATTCAAATAATTTGGAGGCTTGGTCAGATCAAATGGCCAGTATTGAAAACATGAGTTGTACAATATATGATGTTATTTTCTATATTCCATCGGTATTATGTTGATATTTTTATTGAAAAATCAACGCTTTATATAGGTAATATATTGCATTATCATACCATATGTTACTTTTTTTTTTTTTTTTTTTTTTTAAAAAATCTTGTAGCACGGATAACATGTTTTGTTACCATATATTTACCTATATTAGTCTTTGATTTTTGTCAAACAATAGTATTTACAAAACAACACCAACCTTGGGCAACAACAACAACCAAGGTTGTTTAAATCAGCAACATAATGAACATAAGTTGTTACCGTTACATTATCTAACACATTTGACGCATTATGTTAATCGTATGAAACTACTCCATGCCGTCGCCTGCCAATACCATCATCACAAAACATGAGTTCCATGGTTGTTTAAAAACAGTAACATAATGAACACAATTTGTTATCAATACGTTACCAACATGGATAACACGTTATGATAACCGTGACTTCACTATCGCCTGCCAATACCGTTACTAAAAAACACAAGTATCACATTATGTTACTCGTTTAAAATCACTACACTGCCGTCTATCACCACAATCAGAAAACATGAGTAAAATGTTATGTTATCCGTTAGCTCCAATCTTGTCGAAAAATTTATCATCAATATTGTCATCACAATATCCACCATCACTCGAACACTATACCACGAAATATAGAATAAATAATTGGCAATATTTTCAACATTAGGTGAAGACAAACAAAAACCATCACTCGACCATTATACCACAAAATTTCAATCTAGATCTATATATTATGGGGGTTAAATCTCAAATCCAGATCCAAAGGTGATGGTGGAGGTGGTGGTTCGATGGAGGTGCCGGTGGAAATGAAAATGACCTCTTTAATCTGTCATGACATGGCGGAGGTGCAGGGCACCGAAGATGGTGCGGAGATGGCAAAAATGGTGCTAGGGTTTGATGGTGGATATGTTTATGATAAATTCTCTTTTCATTTTCAAGTACTACAAGCATAATAATAATTATTATTATTTATTTTTTGAGTGTCATTCCGTGTAGAAAAATGATAGAAATCGACTAATCATTAAATATTAGTTGTTAGAATCATTTATTATTTCCCAAATCCATAAATACAACTATAAATTTAACATTAATGCATATATGCTCATTAATATGTATGTGTGTGTATAGACATATTGACCACCTTCAAGGGTTTCCTCTTTACCGTTTAAACCAGCAATTTCCTGTCATTTGAAGATTTACAGACACACTCTTTCTTTCCCATAACAATAATGGCGATTCCATGGTTGGATAAATTGCTGGAAACTATATTTTTCAAACCGTGTCCAGTTCATGGAGATTTTGGAGTACCAGGCGAATGCAATCTGTATTGCATTAGCTGCATGGGAGATCCATTTTGTATTCACTGTAAAGAACAGCACGATGAACATCGAGATCAGGTTCTTCAGGTGAAACTTCTATCTTCATTACAGAAAAATTCTGTCTTGAATGGATAATGGGCTCAATTTAGATTTTTATTTTTAACTGCAGATAAGGAAATTTTTGCATCAAGAGGTAGTAAGGGTCGATGACATTGAGGAGCACTTTGACATTTCTTTGATACAGGCATACAAAATAAATGATCAACCTACTGTTTTTCTGAAAAAGCAAGAGGAGACTAAAAGACATGGAAGAGTTAATTGTCAAATGTGTAACCGATACCTCTCTAACCAAGATTCAAGGTTTTGCTCCATCAGTTGCAAGGTAAATTCAGTTTCGAATTCCCGCCTCGAACACTGAGCAAACGAAAAAAGTATCCCTCGTTTCTTATAAAGTGCTCGTTTGGTAAATGTTTTTTTTATTTTGGCTAAAAATTTAGTTAAACTTCATTTTTAACTACACGTTTCCACTTTTTACCACATTTCTTGGGATCTACCGACTCTTATCAATATCACAAAATTCCTAAATTAGGAGTAGGGATGGATCTATTTTCCATTTCGTTTGTCAGTGTAACTGATTGTGAATATATGATATAAGCAGGTGAAGTCTGATTGGTTAGAGTTACGATTATGAGACACGAGCGGATGAATGAATATGTCAGTTAATTTTGGTGGCGATGAAGGGTCCATTGGGTGTAGGAGATGAGCCAGATGATTACAGTGAAGGTCGTCGAGTTGATGAGACAAGCCACATGATACTACAAAAAGGAATTTAAATTATTTTCGTTTCTCAGTACTTTGAATATTTGTATTATGTAGTATAACAAATAATTCATGAATGAATATAGAAGTTCATGAATGAATTGCAACATATATTGTTATCTTGTTTCCCTTCTCTCTTACTATGTCCTATTTGTTTGGTGTGGATTAAAAGCTAATTAAAATTCGGAATCGAAGTCAAAAATTTATTTTAATCATATCTTTCATAAGATCTACAACTTAATTTTCAATCAAATAATTCATCAATTTTTATCAAAATCGACTAAAAATCTGATTTTAGAAGCAGAGACCATGTATAAATGTAAATTTCAGAAATGGATCAGCTTGAGTTCAATCTGACCACCAAATCGAAATTTCAGGTTAGATCGAGTCCAACCTCAAAGAAAACCAAATGGGGTTGAAACAGAGGTTGATTTGACAGTTTAACGTGTACTTTGAGCACCTCTACTTGTTATGTACAAGATACTAAGTATTACACTGGTGTGCAATATTAGGTTACTACCTACTAATAATGAGCTTCACGATACTCATCAACTTATAAGTAGCTTCGACTCATTAATTAAAGAGATGGAGTGGAAAGAACTAAAAATAGAAAATAGAAAGATAATGATGTGAAGAAGCCTTTTAGCATCGTTAGAAACTTCATTAAGGACCAAAGTGACAATATATTTTGTACAAACTTATTGAGGCTCTTTAAAACAATTTAATGTATGTACATTGATCAAATAAGCCCTTGCAAGCATTTTGAGTAATAACAACACAAGCATTGCTATCGTAGTACCGAGAAGCATCACATAGGCTTCCATCGAATTTTGAATGTGCGATGAAACTGAGAAAATTATGTTAGGCGTCGTTAATAAAAGTTAACTGTTAACGGGTAGAAAATGTCGTTAATGGACAGTTAACTATCGTTAATGAAGTTAATCGTTATTATCGACAATTAACTGTCATTAATGGACAATTAAATGATAGTTAACTCTTATTCAAGACGATCATTACATGCATGTTTTTCACTTTTCAGATCTCAAGATAACACTATTTGCTATAAATAATATCTGTAACGATCATACTTAAATTTTACATGATCGAAAAGTTGACGTCATGTACCTTAACTGGTTTCACTATAGTAAACAACTACCATCGAGTGAATCAATATCATTTGCTTATCCATTACCATTCTATATTTGTGAACTCACTTTCCGAACTTATTGAGTCTCTTTACAACAATTTAATGTATGTACATTGATCAAATAAGCCCTTGCAAGCATTTTGAGTAATAACAACACAAGCATTGTTATCGTAGTACCGAAACGAGAATGGAGTCATTATGATCATTACATGCATGTTTTACACATTTTGCACTTCTCGAGACAGTATTATATGATATAAATCACATCTTTAACTATCATATTTTAAGTTGCTATAATGGAAAATTTGACATTGTATATATTAAGTGGTTTTACAATAGTAAAAAATATAAACAATTATCATTGAATGAATAAAGATGGTTTACCTATTTTTCACCATTCTAGAGGTGTAAATTTACTTTTCAAACTCTGAGTCTATAATACATTTTTAAGTATATGCAATGGTCAAATAAGCATTTGCAAGCATTTTGAGCCCAAAAAAATGTGTGTAAAGTCATTACAGTCATTATCTATTTATTTTGCATTTTTATATTTCAAGACACTATTATTTACTATAAGTAAACGATCCTACGTTATTTTGGTATGACAAATAAAGTTGACAATATATATGTTTTCACTATAATTAACGTGCAAATAACTATCAATAAATAAATCAATACCATTTGAAGGGTTGGGTTTATAAAACTCTTAACGAAAATTAACCCTTGTTTGGGCTCCACTTTAATTTTAGGAAAAATTACTTAGAAACCTACATTTAAAGACCAGTTTTCAAAAACAAGGGGGATTAATTTTCATTTCACAAATTAGACGGTAATTAGATTTTAAAAATTATAATTAATAAAAATTTAATTAAACATTATAGATTTACTCATGCACCCCCAATTCATTTCAAAACCCTATCTTCATCACTCTATCTACCTTCTCTCTATCTTCATCACCCCTCTCTCCTACCCACCTCTACCACAGTTCCTTCCCATTGGTAAAGGATCAAATTCAGGCCATGACTATCACTACTAAAAAATAGTTTTTCACCTACGGAAAATTACCAACGGATTGCATCCGTTGGTGATTAAAAATGGATTATCCGTTGGTAAAAGTAATTCACTTTTAGCTACGATAATTAGCAACGGATTTTCCGTTGGTAAAGATGATATCTCTTTATCAACCGATATTCCGTGTTTAATATAATCATTTAACATTTGGATCTTCCTCCAACGAATATTCCGTAGGTGATGTACTAATATTACCAACGGATGCAGAAACGGATTATCCGTTGGTAAAAGTAATTCATTTTTAGCTACAATAATCAGCAACGAATTTTTCGTTGGTAAAGATGATATCTCTTTACCAATGGATATTCCGTGCCTAATATAACCGTTTAACATTTTGATCTTTTACCTACGGATATTCCGTTGGTAATTAGAAACAGATTATCCGTTAGTAAAAATGATATCTCTTTACCAACGGATATTCCGTGCCTAATATAACAGTTTAACATTTTGAACTTTCAGCAACGGATATTCCGTTGGTAAAAATAATTCATTTATCCCATATCCTAAGTTTACAACAATATCTTTGTAGTTGCCCTCTATAAATTTGTGGTCCAATAAGGAGTTAAACAATATTTTGGCCTTTCAAAATAAATAATAATAATAATAATAATAATAATAATAATAATAATAATAATAATAATAATAATAATAATAATAATAATAATAATAATAATAATAAAATAAATAAATAAATAACTTTTTTACTATATGATTATTTACAACATTGATTTTCACCAATTGTAATGGTAGATATTTACCAACAGAAAGTCGGTTGGTATTGGTTAAAACTTTTACCAACGAAAATTCCGTTGGTAAAAGATTCACACTTTACCAACAGATTTTTCGTTGACAAAATGTTTACTCTTTACTTACGGCATGATCTGTTGGTAACTATCAGCGACCCTCAAATTACCAACAGATTTGTGGTTGCAAATATTCCGTTGGTAAAGATTATTAGCAACGGAGATTGAAGCTTTAGGAACGGAAAATCCGTACCTGAAACTCTGTTTTTTAGTAGTGTACAGCTTTGGCTTCGGTTGCGAGTGGCGACGCCTTCGGAGGAGGTTATGCTACAGTGGCCCCTTCCTACCATATTTCGTTTAGAGCGCCACCGTATGCGACGAAGCAGAACCGTCGAGCATACCGACCAAGCATCGTGTCACCGTCGTTACTTACAGTAGCGACGACAGAGTTGTTGCAAGTAGTACCAGTAGGGATGACATGATTGGACACAATTGATCATCCCTTGAGCTAGTGGTTTGGCAATTTTTCTAAAGTGAATGAACTATTAATACTTGTTGGTTTTGATCTGTGACCACATCTGATGGTTTAAGGTGGTGGTTATGCAGTCAGTGTCATTGCAGAGTAAGAAGGCTACAATCAGAGTTGGTGGTCAAGATGGTGGTTTTTTAAACTATGGGTGGTCTGTTTGTGGTCGAGGTGGTTATACATCAAATTGTTGGTGGTGGTTATGTTGGTGGTGTGATGCTGGTGGTGGTGGTTGGTGTTTGTTGAAGGTATTGGTAGAAGTGATTGTGATAGTTATGGTGATTGTTGTGAATTTGAGGTGTGTGCAGATTTGTTTGTAGTGACCTTATGTGACCAAGTATGTGTTTGTTGTGACCAATTTTTATTTTTATTTTTTATTGTGGTTAGTTGTGTCTTGGTCATAAACAATCACACTGAATACAAATTGTCACAGTTAGTCACATCAAAGACAAATTTGGTCACAGTTAATCACAAATAACATAGGTCAGAAAATTGGTTACATACAGTTACAAGTTGGACGTTCACATATAGCCACAGCGAAAAGAAGTTTGATCACAAATAATCACATAAAATACATGCATAGTCACGAATAATAAATCTGGTCATAGATAAATTTTTTGAGATTTTTCTGCAATAGAGTATAGAGAGAATTTTTTTTTTCAATTTTTGGAGATTTTCTTATCATTGAAGCCAAAGCAATCGTTGAAGCGATCATCGAATGGTCTACTGGAGCAGTTGCCAGAGTCGATGGCCATCTCTGGTGGAGAGGTGGAGGGAAGGTAGTGTAGTGGGGTGATTACGCCCAAAGAATAATGCGGTAATTGTAGTACAGATTTGGGGTGTCGTATCCACAGAGAGATGAAAAAATTCTCAAAAGATCAAACAAACTAGGGTTTTCTTAATTAAATGTGGGAATGATTTGTCACTTGAAATAAAAATTAATTATCAATATGCGAATTAGTGAAGCGTCGGAGTTCCCCCATTGGATTGGATCAATCAACATCAATAATTAATGTATTTTTACTCAATTAGAGGTTTTCTTCCCAACTCTCTAATTGGAAGATTTAACAGTGAAGTCCAATTTTATTCCAATTATGTTTCTAGAATCTAGATTTTCTATAACACATTCGCACATTTTTATTGGAACGAGATCAAAAATCGACCATATACGTCAGGCATAAGGCAGTAATCAATCCGCCAATAAAGTGATATTAAGATTAAAATTCAACAATTATTTTAATCATTCAATAGAAAGAGCATGGCTAGATCTATGAAGGATTTGATAAAAGTTAAAATAATCTCAACAATAAGTAATTTAAATTGAAACTCAACAAATAGTTTAATTTAACAATGGAAAAAGCATGACTGAATCCATGAGAAATTTATTAAAAGTTAAACAAATTTCAATACTAATTCATAACGAGAAAATCCAAATCTAGAAATTATTAAGCAAAGAGAGTTCGAATTACATGAAATTATGACGTGAAATCTCCAAATCCAATGAGTTCCATCGTTGCTTCACCGAGT